AGGAGGGAGGCGAGCTGCCGCACTGTCAGCCCGAAGGCGAGCGGAGTATCTTGCTCCCCTTCCCGGCCCCTGCTTCCCTTTCTGATGGCTTCTCCCACTGATTCCATTTGCCAGGTCCTCGACTGCTACCGCCCCCTCCTCGCAGCCCCGCATCGCGTCACATAGCCCTCCTCTTCGAGATTTGCTATCCGCTCGACTCGCTGGGATTACCTCGAGCCGCTCTTAAAACTTACCAGGCTTTTTCTTTTTGTGTGTGTGTGTGTGTGTGTGTGGGTTTTGTTCGGGTGCCTTTGTTGTCGTTTTCTCATTTGTGCTTGCTCGCTCGCGTATAAGGCTGTTGCGTGCTCGTGCGCGTGCAGCGTGTCGATGAATAAAATGCGCGCGTGCACACTCAAGCGCGCGCGTGCGTGCGCGTCCCTATTTTGCGAATGTGTGCGCTTCCCGAGCGCGAATTCTTGTAGCTTGTTAGGCGGGCGTGTAAGCTCGGCTATGGTTCCTCCGCAAACATAGAATGAATTTGCGCAACCCGACCGTGCTTTATTTCGATATTGTTCGGTTCGACGCGTGAGCGTAAGAATGAAAAGGAAACCCGATAATATCCCAGTAAGCCGCTTGTTCGATTGGGCGTATTGTGTTCATGGTAGGTAGACGGATAACCTTGTTCTGTTTGATGCTAGACTTAGCGTACGACCTGTCTTATTGTATTGATCTGCGTTACAATCGGTACGGAGTAGCCGGCAGTTTGAAGTCGGTGCCAACATCTCTATCGGCATTCCCGTATTACAGAGGACGAAAAGAAGTTCTCTGCTCGCGGGAGCAAGAGAGTGGAGCTGATGGAGAAGGACGAGGAAGGCACGAGAACCTAAAGAACGGAAAAGCGGAGAATGAAATGAAATCTGTACTTTTCCTGTTCCTAACGCCGGGCGCGGTCTCCCAGGGTGTAAAGATTCCCTAGCATAGAAGTATAGTTCCGCGTCGACCAAGCGTTTAGTAAGGCGATCCGCTGAACCTGACGGAGGCAATGGACGTCGGACTAACTTCAGATAGTCTCGAACCAAAGTTAAAATATGGCTATTCCTCGTTTCTTTGTCTCAAGTATATAGTCAGGATCGTTATACGTTTGATTCCGCGTTTATTTTCCTTAAAAAAAAAAAAATAGGAACTTTTTTTTTTCGCGCCGGGGGGGGGGGGGGGGGGGGGGGGGTTCCAGATTTCGGTGTCAGGGAAAGAAAATGTCAGCGTTTATCCTGGCTTATGTTGAAAAAAAATTAAAGGAAGATCCATGTCCTTAGGGAAGAGTTAGCATGACCCTTGGGAAACGCCAACACTGACCCCTTCACTTTTCTCCTTTGGCTTTTTCTTTCGCTTCCTCTATTTTAGCTGCCTCTTTTTGGCTTTGCTACGGGGTCAGTGTTAGCATTTCCCAAAGGGGGGATTTGTGTAGCGTCTCCCAAGGGTCATGCTAATGCATTTTTCAAAAATCCGCGAATAAATCTTCCTTTATTTTTTTTTTTTTGGCGTCTACTTTTATCGGCGCTAGTAGTTGGTTCACGGTCCGTTTTGTAGCACAAAGCAAGGCATACGAGCTCTGCACACCTGTGAGTTCAGACTCTCATTCCAGCATCCGCGCGCGCACTGCCTCCCGCCCCGTGGCGTCGCCTTTCTTTCGCCTTTGTCCTTCACTACTCTCCTCCTCTCTACGCGGCGCGCTTCCCTTTCCACTGTTTTATCAACAGACAGACGCCATCAGCCTTTCCCTGTCATGTGCGTACTAATGCTGACGCATTAAGAAGACGTGAGATTTGCCAATTTCCAGGGAGCAGGCGTTCCTGTAACCCAAATTACTTGAAAAAAAGAACATTCCGGTACCGATAAGGTAACTAAACGAGATAACGACGGGTATGATTCCCGAAGCTGCCTGGTCAATCGCCCTCTTCTGCGGGTACGAGGCTACTGGCAAGTGGTAAAATTCGATCAGGGAGCCTCCGTCAATCGTCCTGTGGAAACGGCACCTTTTATCAGTCCTAAGGCGGGAAGAAATGCATGACCTACTGATGGCCAGCGCGCAGCAATAACTTCGGCGATTTTTTTAAGAGTGGTTCGTCTGTCGGCGATGAATTGCGCGAAGAAAGAGGCTTTGCGTTGAGAAGATATCAGCGTTCACGCACATTGCGAGTTGCGAGCGGTGAACATTTTCACTATGCACTCCTTCAGCTACACGGCGATCTGAATCGACCGCGCTAGGTCCCGGAAAGAATTGTCGAGGTGAACACCACGCGATTTCACGTCTCACTGAAGTTCGCGAACACCACGTCGCCCTAGCTGCGCCAGTCCAGGTAACCACCATGTTGAAACTGGTAATCTCGCCGGGCCCGGGATCTCTCGAGAGGTTCTCTTAAAGCCCGCTAGCCAGCAATGCAAAATCCCAAACGTCGCGTGTCTACGCAGTACGCTAACCCTTCTATTGCGCTCTGCATACTCCTGACCCGCCATTTTTTTTTTTTTTTTTTGCTTAGGTTGTAAACTTTTTCGCTAATGCTTGAACTTTTTTTTTAATGCGAAAGCATTATTTTTTATGGAGCGAAGCTGGCATTTTCTATAACCGTCTGTAGCAAGGAAACGGAAGTTAAATTCCCATTGGCCAAAAGCGCAACAACGCAGATGCATCGTCACGCAACCCGATGTGAAGGCGGCAAGGTTCATCGCGCCTGCGCTGTGGGGGAACGTGATGTCACCGACGGAGCGCCGTGTGCAAAAAGAAAGACGTGGCGCGCTGCCTGCTTGTAGGAATGCTTACACATTGCTATTCGTAGGCAGTCTTACGTGTTCTTATTTTTTATATAAAACCGGTCTTGGGTATTACTTTTAAGATTGACCGGTATATACACCGAAAGTACGGAACCCTAGAACTTATCAGTCGCTAGTATAGAGCGAGTCATCCCTCTGAAGTTACGCCATGCACTCCGGCGGCGTTACTATCGGCGCAGACGCGTCACCTCTGCTGGATGTGGTACGTGCGCACGCGCAGTGCCCACGCCCGGAGGTGTGGCCGAACGCGAGCTCGTCTGTCTACAGCGTGTCGGTGCACACCCACGAGCACCACGCATTCGCGTAGCCCTCCGAACAAAGTGCCGCCTGGTATGTGGATAGTCCATTCATCGCGACACGGAGACTTTTTGAAAACAAACCATAAGTACTTTCGATCCCTCCGAGGAAGCGCAAGGAGCTTCCGAACGCGGCTCGTTCTGACAGTTTCAGACGGAAACACCGAAGTATTCTCTTTTGAACATAGCCGAACGTCAGTTGCCTAGGTCGACGGGTGCCTCGAGCCGTACAGACACACTGCTCAGTCATCGCACAAGGGACGCGGCGTTCGCTGGAGACGCGACGGCAGAAACACGCCTGCTCACGCCTCAAGCGCCCGTTTGCTTCATACAAACGTGAACTTCGAACACTTCTGCAGACAGTCTTTGTACGACCAATCTGACATACAAGCAAGAATCACGCTTCGGTCAGTGTCTGCAGTTCGTCTTTTATACCGAGGGAGCGAATGAATTTACGATATATACTATCTCCAGAACAAAAATGTTGAAAACAATTAATGTGGCGGTTGGAATTGATGCGTTCTTATTTCTCTGTACCATAAACAAGTGCATTGATCATCACTTTCACACTGTGTAAAAAAAAACATATTAAAGCCACGGTTCTATTGCTAATAGATCGTACACAGACAGACTGTACACACTGTCTGAGACCTTCCTCGTATGACGCTCACATTGGTCACACAAAAACTGTCTGTATTCATGTTCGCACGAATAAGCTAACATGCTTTGAAGAGACTCGGGGAAGTGTCCGCACGTAAACCTGTCACCATGTCTTCGGCCAACATCGTGTTTCTTTTACGACGTTCGAACGAGTCTGACTGCGTCTCGAGGCTCCTATAGCAAGAAACCTGTCTTTCGGAGACATATCGGGATTCTGCAATTCGGCGAATGTCCCCGCACCCTTCGCAGCAGCAGCCGCAGCCGCGCTGTGGGGGCGCCAACTTTTGAACTCGACTCGTTGCACCCCTCCCCCTTCTTTGCGTGGGAGAGGGGGGGGCGGCCATCTTGGAGCTGTGCAGTCGGCTGCTTCCGCGAGGCAACGATGAGTCATCGCATCGTCTGCTAGATAGCGCACCACCGCCTCCGCTTCCGAGCTCTGATGCAAGGCGGACTTGCTCTCTCGCTCCAACGCTCTCGCCAAAGGGATTTTTTCTCTCTCTTTCTTTCTTTCTCTCTCATTCTCCTTCTTATCCCGCTTTGTTCCCGCGGACGCCGCGAGATTCGGGCTCCCATTCATCCCTCCCGGGGGTATTCTTTGTTTCCTTCTCGATCCTTTCACTTTAAAATGTTAATTTTATTTTAGATATATTAATTCGTCCACTTGGAGGCTTTTACAGAAAGGCTTTGGCGAAACACAAGTTAGACTTTACACCAAGTTTAACTCAAATTAAAACAATGCTAGCTTTTTGTGTGTTTTTTCTTTGGTAATCCTTCCCCGATGTATGCTAGTTTAGGAACACGCCTTCGGCGGTTCGAGAAATTGGCTTTGTTAAGAAATATGTCGCGTCACAAATATGTTACGGAGACGTGACATATTTTTTCTGAACAAAGCCAATTTCTCAAACAGCCAAAAACGTGTTCCCGCAAAAAAAAACAAAAAAAAAACACTGCTTTGTAAAAATGGCGTTTTTTGATGATGCTCAGCAAGTTTCTAAATAGAACTATGCGTTTATTCTCGCTAATTAAGCTAATTACAAATTTTTGTTTATTAACCGATATTTTGTGACAATTCAGCCACTGCATTATATTCCCCTGACTGTACAACTAACCTGCTCAGACAGCATTTGTGAAACTTCCACGACTCTTTTAAAAACTGACCGTAAAACCTAAAAACACACCCTGTATATTATACGGCACCCAATCGTGCGTTCCTAAAAAAAACATCCTCCATCGCAGACACGGAGCAGTGGGAGCTTCTGAGTGGCGGTGGCGCTGCCGTTGTCGGAGGGAGCGGCAACAATGGGGGAAACAATGGCGGCTGGACCGACGGCTCGGCGGCGGCCGAACTGGGTCCCGCCCCGAGGCACAGCCACACGTGCGTCGTCCACCAGGGAGCCATGTGGATCTACGGAGGACTAGCCGACCTCCAGGAGAGGTCCGATTTCTGGAGCTACCACTTCGGTGAGAGACATGAGATGAGAAACGGATATCCTGTCGAAAAGAATCGTCTGAAAGTTATCTGATGCTCCATTAAGCAGATGGTCTGATGTATGTTGGGTGAACGCACGATCAAGAAAGTATGTTGGTCCGACAGACAGATAGCCGAATAAACCGTCAAGGAGGTGCGATGGACCATCAAGATAGTCGAATTAACCATCAAGGAAGTCCGATGAACATTCATGGAAGTCTGATGATGGGCCATCAGGAAAGTCTGATGGGCCATCAGAAAGGTCTGATGGGCCATTAATGAGGTCTGATTGGCCATTAACGAAATCTGATGGGCCATTGACGAAGTCTGATGGGCCATCGAGGGAGTCAGATGAGCCATTCATCAAGGGAGTCTGATGATGTGCCATGCATCCAGGCCACCCTCGAAGTCTGAAGTGCAATTAAGAAAGTCTGATAGACCATGAGGAAAGTTTTATGAGCCCATTAAGGAAGTCTGTTGGGCCATCGAGAGAGTCTGATGGGCCGCCGAGCTAGTGTGATGAGCCATCGAGGGAGTCAGTGAACGTTCAAGGAAGTTTGTGGGGCCATTATGAAGGCCCGATGGGCCATCCAGGAGGTCTGATGGACCGTTACGGGCGCAATACATTTTGTTTTGTCTTTTGATTAGGATACATTCTAGATTCTTTTATGGGTTAGTCCATTGGAGCTAAACAAGCGACCAACATTGCTAGTAGACACAAACGTCTCTTTGCTACAAGCATGCTAGTTTGTAATCAATTCTAAACGCTCGAAAAAAAATTTTGTTTTTGTTTATCGCGAGAGGTTTAGCGTTTACTTTCCTGGTATCACGACGCCTTTTGAAAAATCTATTATATGTACTTGGTACAAGAAGGTTTGTAGGAGCATTTCAGCTGGTACGTACACGCACACGCTCCTCGCGTGTTGTTTTGCTTAGGGCTTAGAGACGTGTTTTCACACGTGTCTTGGGCCTGCTTGCTGCTTGCAACAGTAAAATTAAAGTATCCTAATTTTTGTATCATTTTTTTTCAGACTAAATTTTTCTGACCCTCTAACGTGTTTATTTAGAAATGCTGTGGACTTCACGATGCGTGATTGGGCTAACGTAAGCTCGAAGATGTTCGCCTGAATCGTTTGGTACATGAGAAAGTGAAAGAATAAACTGACCAGTCCAATCGTGGTTTCCGTGAGACGCTGCATCGACGCGTACAGCGTCGGAAACGTGCAGGGGCGCAGTGAATGCGGCTCTCTTATAGTAGTAGGGGCAACGATCGGAAATAACGTGCGTATAACTGCTCAGGAAAATTCACCCGTTCTTAATGCTCTTGGGATTTGTGTCGCGTCGCCTTTGCCGTACCGTGCTCTCGTCAGCGTGACGTAACGCCGCATGGCATCATGTAACACCGTGGCGTCTCGGGGTCGTCACGGTTCCCAGATTTTCGTACCTATCGCTAATACGTTCCACTTGCGGTACATCTGGGCGGTAGATCAATATAGAGCTCTAGGGAACCGTTTTTGCCCATCCCATACGGTACGATGGGCCCTCCGGTACGCACTACGCATGCGCTACCGCAGACGACTTGCGTATGCGCAGTTCGTACCGGAGGGCTTATCGTACCGTATCGGATGGGCAAAAACGGTTCCCTAAAAGTCTCTAATGGAGCGCCTTTTTTTCCGGTCTGTCGCTGACGTGCAGAGACTGGTCGTTGGAGTCGCGTCCGTCCCTCGAAGGGCGGCCCCGGCGAGTTGCACGGCCACGCGGCCGTCCAAGCGCAGGGCTGCATGTACCTCTTCGGAGGGGAGCACCAGGGCACGGCCAACAACGACCTCTGGAGGTTCCACTTCGGTGAGTTCTTGAGCCACGTCCTCTGCTCCTCCGTGCACTGCTTGAAAGGGTGTCCGGACGACCTTACCGGGGCTTGCGTGTACTGGAACGCCCTTCAGGCAGACGCAAATAATTCGGGCAGTCAATCAATCGAGCTATCAATCAGTGAGTCAATCAGTCAATCAATCAGGCAGTGCAAATCAATCAGCCAGTCAATAAGTCAGTCCGCGAGTAAAGGCAATCAATCAGTTGGTCAATCAGTCATTCAATCAATTCATTCGTTTTATTTTGCCACAGAGTGTACAGTTATGGCGAGGGGGCTGGAAACATAGCTTCATGTTTGCAGTATGATGCATTATGTCAGCGGAGAGAAGCAAGGATGAGAGGCTTACTTGGCCACTTTTCTTAATATTTTAAACCATTCAGCATTCACGATGAAAACGCCGGAGCCACACCGGGATAATAAAAAAAGTAGACGAAAACAGGGCGCACCCCATGGGCGCACTCGCAACTAACATTAATTACCCCCCTCTTATATACTCGTGGCGAACCACAGTCACTTCTACATCCGATGTAGCCTCTTTCCCAAAAAAAACAACAAACAAAGAACGTACTTGTGCTCCGATAACGAGACGGATGTGTCACTACTACCATCTTTTTTTCTGTTATATTAAAGGCCTCGGGTAACTCCCTAGATATCCGATCGATATACATGGCCAACGTTCTTGTGTTACCAAATGACGATGTCATTCCACATGACATGGGAATTTCGTATACCACTCCTGTGGCGCATTTTGTGGATCTGTTACCGATGCTTCGTATCACACGGATCTGTAGCCTTACGGGGATCGTTGATTTTGCGGGATAGTCGCGTTAGCTTATTTGACGCGGGAAAAACAACAAATACATGGTACCGGTCAACTACCTTTTTTTTTAGATTGTGGGTTACTGAGTGGGCGTATGGGATGACTCAACACCTCGTAGATAACAAAGCCGTAGTGCTGTTAGAGATGTCGTCATCAGCGAAGGGCAATGCTGGGCACAGATTGGACGCGACGATTGCGTCTACCTTCGGCTCAAACTTGGCTCGAAGCCGCGGCGCTCACGCAGCGCACGTTTCCGACCTGTGTTCAGTGTTGGCCCTCGCTGATGACGCAGAAACGGCAGCACTACGGCCTTGTCTTCAAGGTGGTGTTGAATGACCACCTTCACAAGGTGGCCTCCGTGTGCCTTTATTTTTTTTTTTTTTTTTTTAAGGCGAAAGCTTTATATGGTTTCATTACGCGAAAAGGCGGCGTCGGCGTTGTCCCTGAAAGATGGCCATAAAAACACGTCATCAAGCACGCGCCGCTCAAGGTCAAAGCGGACGCGCCTCAGAAATAAAACGCAAAGAAAATCACAGCAACGCAGATGCTTCGTCACGGAAGCCGTGAGGCCGGCGGAGACGCCGCGACGTGGCGCGCTGCTTGTAGAAATTCGCTGCGCGCGTATAGGAACGCTTCCGCATTCCTACGCGTAAGCAGTCCTAAGTGCCTTTTGCGTTTTTTTTTAGTCTGTCCACCACTTTCGCCAGACTCTTCTGAGGGTAGCCCGCTTTCTGCAACCGCGCTACCTGTTTCGTGAAGCTCTCTTCAGCGCTATGTGCACACGACTTTCTAAGCGACGCCTATGCATATTCGAGTTGATATCTTACCAGGGGTGTGTTGGCTTGCTGTCTTATTTCGGGTGAAGCGAATTTTAGGTTGCGTTTTACAAACCAAAGCGTGCGGTTAATCTTCAAAGCCACTCCTTTAACTGGCCGACGTTTCAACGATAGGGCACGAGAACATAGTCTTTTTGTGCGCTACAACGCGAGGGGATATCTTGCTGACCCCTGCAGTCTATGCACTGGCTGTAAGCCTCTTTTGGCTGCAACAAAGATTTAAAAAAAAAAAAGGCAAAAGATAAACCGAGAGAGAGAGATCATAGAGCCGTTTTACATCAAAAGGAAAGGTGACAATAGCGTTAATATGCCTTCTCTTTTTCTGTTCCAAAAAAAAAAAAGTAACTTTTCTAGATAGTTTCATGTGAGAGTGGTGATTGGTTGTATTGCAGGTGTGGCAAAAGATTTTGTGTATATAAATGGCGATGTTTTGCTAATAAAAACAGTTGTGAGTTAGCGCCCGTCGTGTCGTCTTTGTGCCTGTATTGTCCTTGTTTTGTTTGCGGTTTCTAAACCTTTTAAATAATTTAACGTGACTGCTCCGTATGAGGTCGCTTGTGAGGTAATGTCCTAAATACGTATACGATCTACAGTGACCAATGTTAATGCTGCCAAGATGGTTAGAAAAGATTAGTAAACACTTACGCAACCCGTAAGGTGAAACATAGCGACAGCTTAGGTGTGCGTTAAATAAGAAGGCCGCAGATTGGACGCAACTACGGCGTCAGCGTCCGGCTAGGAGTCGTTCCAATCACCGATAACACGACTCCAAGTCGAATGCCTGACGCCGTGGTCGTGTCCAATCTGTGGCCTACGGTGGCCCTCGATCTTTAGTGACGCAGCAAAATTCGGCACTTGGGCTTTCTTATTTAGGAAGGAGTTGGCGCAATGCCTCCGAGATAACGAGGCCCGAATTTTCCACGTCACCTGAAGAGGCAAACCCGGATCGGACACGATGTCAGTTCTCGGCTGAGATTCGTCTCCAGTCAGTGCGAACACGGGTCTCGGCCGAATGCTGACACGGCGCTCGCGTCCTATCAGCGCCCCGCGTTTCCCTCTTTAGGCGACGCTAAAATTCGGCACAAAGTCCTCGAGATGCATAGAAGGTGTTGAGGAGGCGGAGCGTAAGCGGCGTGCTAACACCGAGCTCGTTGGGTCACGCTGTCCCCCCTCTCACGGTGCGACCAGCCAACAGCACCTGCACTTCGTTTGTCTAAAATCAGGCAGCCTGAAAAGCGCACCGTTCGTCACGTGTCTGTACGTGTTCTAGTGTCGCTGATGAACCAAACAGAAAAGGCTTATGTCACATTCATTTGGGGCGCACGCAGCACCGAGAAAATGCTGCCCCCAAGGCCGCGCCACCGCGCGGGTGCAGCGTATGATGCACTACCAAGTGAACAGGAAGCATTCCGCCGTGCAACGCGCTTGGCGCGGAGACTTCAAGGGCAAAACATAAACGGGTGGACCATTGAACAAAATCCGCCGCGAGTGGGGCGGCGGCGCGTGCCATCTAGTGAGAGTCTCCCGAGCCGCCATGTTTACCGAGACGAGGAAGGGTGTGTACTTGGGCTAGTTGGTTATTCATGAATAGGAGGTAAAAGCGCTAAAAAACGACGGACAAGTTGAAGAATGACGAACACCACAGAGCGCTAACTTGCAACTGAAGTTTATTACTGAAAAACACGTACACATATATACACCGTGACATCAAAAAGACAAGTGGTAATAATGCCGCTTCATCTATCTAAGGTTAATCTATGAATTGTTTACTCTTTCGAATGATTTTCGAAAATGTTTGATAATTTTAAAACTAGTGCTTCGGGGCTCACTTTCACTAGTGAAAATCCCGTAGCGGGTACCTTACAGTTTCTAGATCTTAAGCTTTTACTACAGCCTTCGCATGTCTGTTGGTTTTATTGCCCAAGGGCAAAGAAAGGAGTGTTACCCTTTGATTCAAGTCACTCAAAGGTAATCAAGAGGGGCATTGCCTCGACGTGCTTAAGGTCATCTTTACAGAAGTCCTGCCCACATAAGCTAGCAGTTAGCTTTATGCTTCAGGTGACGAAACTGGAGGAGGGGGGTTTTCCACCTCCGCTCCTTGCGGGGGTGGCGGAAGGCTTACTAAAGAAACTTCGGGGGGGAGGGGAATGTGGCGTGAGGGACAAGCCAAAGTCTAGACCAGCGGTGATACCTTATGTGCATAAGGTGAGCCATAGAATAAAGAAAGTGGGGGAAAAGCATGGGGTCCCTGTACTCTTATCAGCCCCTCAAAAATTGAGTAAGCTATGTGGAAGGGTGGCACGTGGTGATGAGCGCGTAGGCGTATGCCATAAGAATCATAAAACAAGATACGTAGAGTGTAAGGAACAAGTGGTGTATAAAATTCCTTTATCATGCGGAAAGGTGTACATCGGGCAATCGGGTCGGTGCATAAACGACAGACTCAGGGAACATGCCCTGTCAGTTAGATCATCACCCTCGGGCAATCTGGCTGTACACTGTAACAGATGTGGGTGTGTCCCACGGCTTGACAACACCGTTATCTTAACTCGGAATAGAGACAAAAAAACGAGAGAGATATCGGAGGCGTTTTTTATTTTGAAGTACGATCAGGGCAAGTGTGTCAGCGCTCCCTCAGTAAACCTGTATAGCTCTGAGGTGGCATATTTGAAATCATTCGAAAGAGTAAACAATTCATAGATTAACCTTAGATAGATGAAGCGGCATTATTACCACTTGTCTTTTTGATGTCACGGTGTATATATGTGTACGTGTTTTTCAGTAATAAACTTCAGTTGCAAGTTAGCGCTCTGTGGTGTTCGTCATTCTTCAACTTGTCCGTCGTTTTTTAGCGCTTTTACCTCCTATTCGAGACGAGGAAGACGAAGCGAGGGAAAGAAGGGGCCGAAGGAGGCGGAGGGCGGTAGCTCAAGGCCGCACCGGGCCGCAGTGCGTGAAGCTGCATGGTCTCCTTTCGACGGTGCAGCTGGTGCAGCAACGCGCCGGTGTCGTGCGCCGCACCAAGTCCCAAATGAACGTAGTGCAGCCGCACCGACACGACCATCTGAACGCGACGCGTCCGTCGGTGCAGTGCGGTGCGGTGTGGTGCGCCCCAATTGAATGTGACAACTCGAGCTCTTGGCGCTGCATGATTACGCCTGGTAGCGTCGTGGAGAGTGGAGAGGATAACGCCGGTAGCATCCTGACACCGTCCAAGTGAGATCGAGTGCACGAAGACGCGGACGAAGTTCCCATCTAAAGCTTTAAAGGCCGAGGATCACACTCGAGATTCTGCGAGGCAGAAGATCTTCCTCAGCATGAGGGAGGAGGAGACAGGCAACGGTGCACACTGTAGAAGGGGGAGAGGAAGAAGCGAGGGGAAATCGCGAACTGGTCGTCGGTCTTTAACATTAGACTGAGTCTACCCAGGCGTCGCGTATATGTAAGCCACCCTCCCCGTGCAGCGAGCGAGACCTGGGAGAAGGTGGTGGTGGAGGGCAACGCGCCGACTCCCCGCTGCCGCCACGTGGCCCTGGTGAACCCGACCATGCCCACCTGGGCGGACCGGGTGCGGCCGTCGGCGGCCGACGTGGACGCGGACGGGCTTTGGTCGGCGTCCCAGACGGCGTCGGCGGGCGACGGGCATCCCCGCAGGGCCTCGTTCCGCTTCAAGGTGCACCCGGTGTCCAGGCTGTGCAGCAAGCGGACCGGCTCACAGGACGAGGACGAAGACCGCTACGCGTACGGCGCCCAGCTCGCCTCGCAGGTCAACCTCAGGTACGCGCCCTTGGAAAGGGACCTTTAAAGGGGCACTCAAGCCATGTTTGGAAAAGGTCGTTTTTTGATATTATATTGTTTAAAAGGTGTTAGTTCCCACATATACCAAGACCTATATTAGGAAACCGCCTGTTCATCTCAGGGCAAGAGAAAAGCATATGGACTCTTTTTTCTCGCGGACTACGCTGTGTGGACCAATGAAAGTTGACTAACGTAGAAGTTTGGGCTAGTTGGTATTTCTAATCACTTCACACTTGTCTTTGTCAAGTGTGAAGTGATTCGGAAAAATAAAGACAAACTCACTCGAGAAATCATTGAGGCGCGGGAAATTTGAAAATTGGGGGAAAACTGTGGTCAGCACTCCTTCAGTATGTTTATCCGAAAAGGAATGTTGCTTTCTAGACACACAGTGACAGCGCATAACGGTGGCTAAGGAGCACGTGGCGACCATTACATGTATTTTATCTTTATTTGTTTGTCATGACATTACAGTATTTATACTTGATGTTAGCACGAAAAAACTTTAGTTGTAAGTCAGCGCCTTGTTCGTCTACCTTCTTGTGCTTGTCCGTGTCTTGCGCTGTTTTAATTTTTAACCAATGAAAGCCCTACAATACACGCAGATTCCGAATGATTTTACTATAACTCGTTTCGAAGAGAGTGTGATAGGTACACATTCGGATAAACCTCCTCTTTTTCTCCCCGGGCGAAGCCATCGCTTGCAACTCTCCGACAAGAGCCCTTCATCGACCGCTTCATTCGGAAGAAAATTCTTCCCAAAAAAGGGCGTGTCGCGATCAATTTGAACACGTTTTTAACGAGGAAATAAGCTACGCACGATTATAATTTCAGGTTTGTTTGGATGCTTAGAGCGCCTAGATTAAGTTGTCACCACAAAAATACAAAAACAAAAACGATCTTGGAATCAACTTCAGTGCCCCTTTAACTCCGGAAAAATATTCCTTTAAATGGCTGGATGAGACACCCTCAAAATAGAAGCACGCTTTGGAATCGCTTTAACTCAAAATGAGTCTCACTATGTAGCCATTGCTATAAAATTTGTTTTATGTGGGTGTGGAAAGTGTATTATGTTACGTACTTGTCCTATGCTGGCACATAAAATATTTATAAAAGTGCAATTTTTTTATTTCTTTTTTAAATAGCTTTGGGTTTTGCGTGGTCTTGGAAGCCCTTTCCCACATTCCCGTTTAGAAATCTGAGTTTTTTTGTTTTTAAGCATTTGTGCTTAATTAAAATTAAATGTCAGGAAAACGGTCAGAAAAAAAAATGTAATAAAGTGTAAACTGACTTGATACTGAAGTAATAAAACAAACTCCGGACAAGAGACGACGAACATAACTTTCATGAAACATACGTTCGTCATCCCTTGTCTCGAGTTTGTTTTATTATTTCTGTGTCAAGTCAACTTTACCAACATGCTCTACAGTTAAAAATAGAAAATCTCTCTCTTTCTTTATCTCTCTGAACTTAAAACGAACTGCGCTCGTTCTAAGTTCAGCGCTGTCTCTGTCCTTGTTTCTTTTTTTTTTCTTTTTTTTTTGGCACGCTGTATCACCAATTTGTAATAACGAACCAACTCACCCTCGTCACCATATTAGTAAATAGGCCGTTTGGCCAGAGCAGTACGACTGCGAACTTGGAGCGTTAAACGTGAATCACACGGCAGAGATGACACCGCCGCACATCGGTACAACGTTCATCCTGTTCGAAACAAACAGGGGCGGGATGATGGCTGCTGAAATTGCCTGGTGACACCGTTTACAACTTACAATGCCACGTTTTTGTGACATCACGATTTCCTCGCCCCAACCGCGATTCTGCAGCGCGTTAAGCCATTTTATTTTGTCCCTTTTGTGGCATTTTGAACCCGTCTACACGACCTCGCAGGTCCCTGAAGGAGAAGCTGTCCAGCAGCCGGCTGGTGCGCAGCATCTCGAGCGGCAACTACGGCGTGGGCATCGTGCGTCGGGACGAGCTCCAGAACCTCCTGGACGGGGGAGACTCGTCCGCGGGCGGAACGCCGAATCTCCAGCCGTCGACGGCCATCCAGAAGTCCCTCAGCTCGGACGCCGTCCTGGAGCCCTCGGACAGCGAGCCCTCGACGCCGCGTCACCAGCTCCACATCGCCGTGCGTCCGCTGTCCGAGATCCTGCCGCGGAACCGGGACGAAGACGTGGTGCCGGGACGGCTGAGCCCGCCGCCGCAGTCCGGGCGTTCACGGAGGATGACCAGCTCCCAGAGCCTGACGACCTTCTCGGCTCGCGGCCACAACGCCGTTGCCCCGGCCGTCCTCGGCGGCGGGAGCTGCTGCTGTTCCCCGACCACAGCGACGACGAGCCCGCAGGAGCATCAACACAGCCCGTGCGAGAACGACGTCAGTTCCATGAAGGCCCCCGCCACGGCCGATCGCAGCGACCTCCTCATCGACCTAGAGTCCCGCAGCTCCGCCAAGCTGCGGCAGGCCCGGCGTTCCACGAGCAGCTACACGTCCTTCTCGACCCTGTCGGACGGCACCGGCGGCAGCTGCCTCCAGACGCCCGTGGTGGAACTGTCCCACAGCGTGTCCCACTGCTCGGGCTACTACTCTTTTGCCGAGGACGACCCGGAGCTCCAGCGGGACATTGTCAACTTCCTCACGGGCAACGGCCCTCGCACTTCCAGGCCCGTGTCCCTGAACGCCGGCCGTTCTTCGGAGGACTCTGCCGTCCTGGAGATGAACACGTTTAGCGTGGCGGCGCAACCGGGCATTCAAGTGGTCAAGCAGAGGGCCAAGTCTTGGGACAGGGTGTCCCAGAGGGTCCCTTCGGGGTCTTCGACGGCGGTCGTGCTGCGCGGCTCGGGCCAGCCCAGGACCCACCTGATCCAGGCCATCAAGGAGGAGAGCTGCCACGGGACGCCCGTCCGGGTTAAGCTGTCCAGTCCCAGCAGGGCACGGCCGGAACAGCACCGCTGGAGGCTCTGCTTCTACGTGTTCGGCGGAAGTGAGCAAGGCGCGCCCGGGATGTACCGCCAGCCCATCTCCATCTGGCAGCTTTACATCTGAACCCTTTTCATATTAGCTTGTTAATTTTTTTAGTTGTCTTTAGTTTTTACTGATGTTTATCTTCATGGTGAAAGGTCGGTCGACTTGTAGTGTGAACCTTCCCTCCAAATTGGGTTCTACTAAGATTGAAATAGTTTATGCCGAGCAAATTCCCAGTAGGTGCAAGTAACTGGCCCAGTATCCAAATCCCCAAATTTCGCTGTCCTATTGCGTATTTTTTTTGTTCACGACTGCGCTTTGTGCGGTCTTCAGTTTTATGCGACAGTGACATTACTCTAAGTCAGGCAGTGTATACAGTTATGATGTGTACACTGCTCTAGGTTTCAATGCGCAGTGGATTTTCCGTAATTCGAACGCTTACCAATACTCTCTCGTGTCATCCGGAAGCTATTACTGTAGTAGATCCCTTTTATGTGGAGCGCGCGGTACGTCTGTTTTTTAAAGACCAGACTTGTCCCGCGTGAGTCGCTCTCCAACATGAGTCATATAAAATTGTTCCCGTCCGTGTCTGCTACTAAAATGCTCCAACTAAAATGTTAATTTTTTTTTTTTTTTTTTTATGATATGTTGAGAACAGTGAAAGTAAGGCATCCGAGAAAGAAATGTTTAGTTTCCGGAGGAAAGAAAATGCTGGAAACCCGATACTGGATATGAGTATTGAGGAGCGTTCGACGTACGGTTTTATTGGCCGCCCGCAGGTTGCGAAACCTTTATTTTTAATTATTACGAGATATTGAATAATGAGGGAATAGCCGATACGGTGATGGCAAAAAAAGCTACTAAAAATGATGACCGCCTTCCACGCAAAATATTTTTTGCAGGAGTCGTATCTCCGTTGAATCTTGTAATGTTTCGCTGGTCGTGCTTATTTTGTTTTTCTTTGTTTTGTGGCAGCTCCTTGCAAACGGCTTGCGTTGTTTGTTTTTGTGTGGATATATACACCCGCGACACTATCCAGTTTTACGCCGCATGATCTTCAGATGAAAGTTTTGTGTTTAGTTATTCCCCGAATCCTCGTCTGAGAGGTTGTTTCTTAAATTTTTCCTAGACGCCAATGAGTTCCCATGGACACGTGGTCAGCTCCCTCCTTTCAAGTGGGAGTTTGTGACCACACCCATACCGACCAGTGGAAGCTGCAAATGCCAATGGCGGCTGCATTTACGAGGCGGAAAGCGAAAGCATTCTCTCTTATTTTTCTTCTAGTAATGGGTGTGGGATGAAAGGTGCCGCAGTGTGCAAGGAGTCGCTATGAGCCGACCCTAATCAACGGGAAAACTTCCTGGCAGACTTAATTAATTCGTAAACATCGAGATGGTGCATTTCAGCTTCGGAATGATGCACTTCATGCTTTACAAGCGACAAATTGGAAGCCGTCAAATAATCTACGGCTGACTTCTTTTTTTTTTTTTCTTTTTTTGTTGTGTACCTAGACAAACACATTGGTCAACACTTGACAAAATCGTCGTACGTACAACGTACTACGGTCACATGGTTTATGCCACTGGATCACGTGCCATCACGTGGTTTGTGTCACTATAGATCACGTGGTTAGTTCCACCATAGGTCGTCAGGGGGTTCGTGCCACAATGGACCAAATGACGTGTCGTCACGTGGTTTGTGCCTCCATGCGTCACGTGATTGGTGCCACTATAGGTCGTGACGTCACGTGTCGTCACGTGGACGAATTCGGAACAGCTCGACTTCTGCCGCATACTTTCCGAAATGGTGAGGCATGGGCGGGACAGATCGGCTGCGCCCCTTGACGCCACGTGTCAAAGTGCATCTCCCCAGTAGCGTATCGACTGCTCGACTTGGCCAATCCAGCGCATTGCGCGCTATGAATTATAAGCCAAATACGTCCAATATGTTCAACCGTACCATACTCCGTTCGTCCAGTATCGCCTCGTCCCGCGCCTATTCTCGATACCGTTCGCGCAGCTATCTAACTCGTATCTACAGCGTATGAAACAGGTTACGAGCAGACCGATAAGTCCCGAGTCTCAAAAAAGTGTACTTTCACCGACGGTTGCCCGAAGGTATACCCAATTTTCCCGACGCAAATGAGAAATGCAGGCACGGATTTTCAGCCCTCCGCGCTAACGTTGCAACATACTTTTTTTTGTGTGTGTGTACTTTTTCCGGCAACCGGGACCTTAATAAAAAAAAAAAAGGTCTTGTCTTTCTCCGCAAAAAGAAACCGTACCTTTTTTTTATTATGATTATGATTATTTCATTTCAATGTACTAGAATTGCAAATCGACGATTTTTGTTTTAACAACCTGTTGCAAGACCAACGCACTGTTTACAAAGAAGTTCGCATAATGGCCGCTCCAAGTTGGGGCACCGCGCACGACCAGATTTGCCTTGAGTTCTGCGTATGCGTCGCGCCGACAGCAGCGCCACCCTAGCGGTGTCATGTGAGAGCTTTGTCAATTCAGTTGGGCTGCCTCATCTATAGTTTATACGGTCATACAACGAATACAGACGAGTTTACCGCCGGATGTTCACTCGACGAGCTCTGAATTTGGCAACTCGATTAAGTTATAACTACCGTACTTTATCTTCACGCCTCCAACATCGCGACTAAAATAAAGGAAAAAAAAAAAGGAATAGTCGTAATTTTGGTGAATCGTCACTATTTGAAGCTTGGGATTATTCGCTTCGTGCCGTCTCGCTGAGGACCGCTATCTTGTATAGGCTCTGTATATGGATTATATATGTACAAAAAAGACAACAACAACAACAGATCTTGTAGATTTTCTCATAATCACTGCCTCTCGAAGAATCATCTGAACTCATCCGACGTCGGCACGCAGCCATTGCAGTTTCCTCGTCCATATCACTCGACGTGGGAATGGAAAAGAGCGCTATATTTCTAACGCATCGTCATGTGCCAACTTCACTTGTCGTGTTAACGTTCTTCGTTGTCTTATTTTGGACAGAACGACCGTGGGCTTCGTTGCGAGTGATTTTGCCTATAAATACTCTGCTCTTGACTAACCCAGTGGAAGGATAAGTATGGTCGAACAGCGTTTGTTTTGTTGTGAGTTTTTTTTTTTTTTCTTCTTATAATTAAAGGCAAGGATTATTCTACGCTTGGGATGCACCACACGCCATGTTACGGTCTTGCTCACGACGAGCTTGCATCGGTAGTTGCAGCCAGCCTTGCTTGTTGCACCTCGCGTCGTCGGAGTCACGTCCACGTCACGACGAACCCCGTGGTCCGAAAGGTCACGTGATCCTCTACGCGACGGTGGGCGGACGTGCGCCTTTGAGATGAGGGTTACCAGCCTTGAAAGCGGAATCACTGCCTAGTTTCCATGCAGAGTCAGCTTCTTCCCTATGCCTTTAAACAATTTGTAGCCAGAGGTATACACGTTGCATCTCAAAACGACAATCCTCGTTTTGTTTTGATTTGTTTTTTTGTTTTTTACGGGCTAGGTCTTGAAAATTACCAAACAACATGCGAGCCAGCTGTGCTCACCAAACCCGATTCAATATGGCGCTGACTTGTTTCTACGAGCAGACGATATAAACAGCAGAATTCTACAACGCTACATTAGCGAGCGTTTCCTTTTGTTGGGAAACTGAAACACTCAATGTATAGCTATGTTATTTTTTTTTTTCATTCTGAAAGAACCGGAACTTGTTGGTTCCTTGCAACGTTATCTGAAAATTTAAATTTCCCAATACTTGACTTGATCGTAACTTGGAGTGCAGTGAACGTTGCTTGCTCCTATTACTCAAAGATGGATCAGTGAAACGCACACACGACGCAAAGAACGCAGTTATAGCAGACGGCGAAGGCCACGGATCAACGAAACCTTAGCCTTCACTGCCACGTTCCGACGGAGTCGGCGATGTGCTTTATGCTGTCCACTGCCCATGAAGTGCAAGTTGGTTTTCTACAGGTGTTTCTGTACGGAATACTTGCGTGACTCGGCAATGTTACGAATTGCCAGTCTTTTTTTTTTTTTTTTTATACTGCGAGCCTAATTGTTTTGGTGGCCCGCGAAATGTTTTGCACATTACACAGGACCGCCATACATCTACGTGAACCTTATACCGTGGCACCACGCGATGGAAGGGAAATTTTGGGAGAATATGAATTCATCTATCGAAAATTTCCAAATGGATACTCACACGTGGTGAAAAGATAACCGGAAAAATTATGAGATGGGCGATCTTTCGGGGGTTGCGGTAATGTGCTTCCCGTTTAGAAATCGGAAAGTCCCTATTTGAACTAGACCCGACGTTTTTTGAATTACTGACAAATGTTGCGTAATTGAGGAGTGACTGTATAGATTGCCAAGAGTCGTCAATGTGGTTGCTGTAAAGTGTGTGTTTCTCATTTGCGCTTGATTTCTTTATCTCTTGTTGTCTGTGCTGGTTTCACTCGTACAATATTCTGTTAGCACGTACACTCGTCGCGTATTTGACGACGGGCGACACTCAGTTAAATAACGTCGGTTTTACGCTTTTTTATGGGTGAAATGAGCTGGTGCATCATCTATCGTGCCAGCAAGCGTACAATCTTCTTTTATTTTGAATTTACAACGACGCGAAGTATTCGGTGGAAAGTCTGACTTGTACGAAGTCCGCCTTTCGAATGTTTCGAATTGAGATGTGACGCCAAAGTGACTGGAAAGAAGAAAGGCGATCGCGTATAAAGTGTTCCACGAGAATCGCTGAATCTTGCGTCCTCGATTATTCCGGGATAGTGCAATTATTGGAAGCGGCGTAATACTCCTTTTTACGTGTATATTATTGATCGGAGGACGACGGTACGAGTGCTTCACAGTGTTTTTAGTCGCAGCTGTATACTCGTGTACGAAAAACTTTTAAGCTGCCATCTTCGTTTTCGAAAAGAGTGTAGCGTGAAGTTGTTTTCGTTCACGTACTTCGACCAGTAAGTTCAGACATTTGCCTTAAGGTTGAAGTCAATTACCTTTTTTTTTTTTTTTAGCTCTTTTTTTTTAAAATATTACCAGATATGTGTT